GAATGATGTTTCTATTTAAACCCCTCATTAGATGTTTGGAAATTCAAGGATGATCGATTATATCTCTCTTGTCATGGCATAACCATCGCTATATTTAGTATTTTGAGAAATGATACCCCATTAGTTTTATATGTATCATATTACGTATTGTTACATCATAGTCAAAACCATGGCATGTCAATCTCTATCTCTATTTGTACTCCATTATACATGGAATGTGATTGATTTTATTTTTTGTATCAGCAAAATCATTTATATCAAATTAAATTGTGAATGCAGATTCATATAATAACCGAATAATTGTTTATGTTGAACTAAGACTTGTTCAACTCTGGCTGAAAAAGTGTAGGAAATGTTGTTTTTTAATCTTACATTCAGTGTCATATATATATAGGTTTTCCCGCCCAATTTCATCAGAGTTGCATCCGATTTAACGATGCGATCATTCAATTTCGAGCGAATTTGAATGATCACCGAGATCAACATTCAAAAAGCTAATTAGTTCATTCAATTTAATTGTATAAGCATGCGATTTCATGATTTTCTTACATAAACGTGTAAAAAGCGCGTTCAAATTAAAAATGCAAGTAAATGCATTCAATTTCGCTCCTGCACCGCCCTGATGAACGTTAGGGTATTCAAATTGACGAATAGGCAAGCATTTACAGCATTTGGGCAGTCTTTTTCTGTTACTGTTTATATTCTTTGCAATCTGCATCTCTTTGAATAAATTATGCAAACTTTATGTACCTTGAAATGGGACCTTTCCCTTATAGTGAAATATCTCATTCTTCTGACAAACCGTCATGCAAGCAAATTATGATTTATAAACCATTCTGTAAGTGTTATGTCCATACTGCTAGGAAATACAGTGAAACTTGGAGAGAAGATTAGAAAGAAAAGAAATATATAGAATATGATAAAAATAAACATTATGAAACTTTAAGAATGAAAATTAAGTTATATAATTAAAAACAGTGAAAAAAAAAAAAATGACGTGAAAAGATTGCGGTAAAAATTAAATAGAACTACAGAACTTGTTTGTGTTGATTTAATTTGAACGTTCAAAGTGCGAAGGTGTGTGCCTATAAATGAAATTGAAATTGGTATTAAGCACGAAATTGAACGTCTATCCAGCTTGCGCGAAATTGAATGACAACTTAGCGGCACTAAATTGAATGGATTTCTCTCTAAATTGAATGAAATAAAATTTAAAAGGAATGATATAAAAATTAAATTAAATGCTCAAAGAATGAACTCGAACCATGAGAGCAGAGAGTTAATGAAAACCGTTCGAACTTGAACGCCTATTCATGAAGTCGAATGCAACTCTGATCAAATTGGGCGGGAAAACCTATATATATATATATATATATATTTATATATGTTTGTGTGTGTGTATGTGTGCCTTGCAGAGAATAACCCAATTATAAACTGTCTGTGCCTGCACTGCCAACACTTGCGGAGGCCTCATAAAATATCTCATTATGACTCAAAGCTATAAAAAATCGATAACAATTCATTCACTTCAAACAAATTATATTTACAAACGTACATGACTGTATTAGTTTAGTCAATTAGATTAAACGGAAGTGTTATTCAGGGAAGAGGGGCGGAAAAGGGATTACGGGAGAGTTAACTGTTTTTTTTTTTTACTGAATGGTCGTTAAACTGCTACCTCGTTCTACAAAACATTGTTATTTGTTTTTCTCAAAGCGCTTGATTTTTACCCAAAAAATGTTTTGCTGGTGGCATCAAACTCGAGACAGCTAAAAATTCATATTACTACATCATTCAGCTCAGTTTCATTCCTCAATCAGTTCTCCTGGAAAATTAGCCCTTCCGATGTTTTATATATATTTTTTCAAGGTCAACAAAACTATATTTAAAAACCCAAAATAGGCTTATTTCATCACTTTACCTTTCGATTTATTAAAGATACACCACGCATAAAGTTAAAAAAAGGTTTTACATGTAATTCAACAATTTTTGATGCTGTACGTGATTATTGACGTAAAATATTCAATCATATAAAATGTATGTATTTTAATGATTCGTCAATTTTCCTCTGCATTATGTAACTATTTAAATATTAAAATATTTCAATAATTAAGTATCATTTACCAATTTTGACATCGAAATTAATACACATTAAATGTTATCTTCGTAATGGTAGGTTGTAGACGCCTTATCGAGAAGGTGGGAAGCGTCAATTAAACGTGTATCCTCCTAAATCACAGCATAGTGATCATCCATCCGAATGTAACTCTGCTAATGAACCAATGTGTCAGAGACAATTATAGTTCGGGAACCTCCCCAATTTCAAACAGACAGGATCTTGAAGGTTTCGTGTTTAAACATTCATGGATCATAAATTGAATATTTCACACCGTTAGATATTCGATAATTCCAAAACATGTAGGTAAACAACGGACGATGACAACCTTGTATACAGCTTTTAATCAAATTATGAATTTAAGATTATAAAAATGAATAAAGAATTTAAGATGATCATAATATACCAAATGGTAATAGACGTACTGTTGATCTTATTGAAATTTCTAGTCGTATGTAGAAAAAAACTACCCAAATTGGAAATCGACAACATCAACTTTAAAGTTTTATTCCTGCTTCTCATTCGTTTGGGACTCTTGTTTTATCTGAATTTTGGTCAGTTGTTTAAAGAGGGTTGAAAGTTTTGTGTAGGGCCAATGGATGTAGGACCTACAAGACTTTAGAAGAATGCGACGTAGGAACATTTACGAATATTTTTCTCCTTATCCTTTAGATTTTCCGAGGTCTAACTAAAATAGGAAGTGACACATCAATCATGTCAACCTTAATACATGAGATATTAACGAGATGGGGAACTTATTATGAAGGGGAAGCCATTGCAAGGATACTTTTAAAGGTCCTTTGTCGATCTTAACTTGGGTATATAGTTTAATCGAGAAGAAAGTGTGAGATGTCATGCAGAGACAGTCGGTGAATATATCGTTTAACTAAGTCGTGTTACTAGTCAATATATTTGAGATTTATTTAAAATTCCGGGTTAAACAAACCAGGTATCATAAATTGATGAACACCAACGGTAAATGCCAATTAAATAAAAAGCCAAAGTTCTGAAATAATTAGAATGAAATTATAATCTTTATTTCTTTCTTTTTACTTTCCATATATCTTTAAGCTCCTCTATAGACCATGTCTAAATCACAGGGACAGTTTCTTGTCATTATAATGCTATATATTCATTCCAGAGTGGCATGGTGTCGGAAAAAGAGCACTACTGAATTGGGAGAGTCTGAAAAGAAAATAGAACAAGTTAACGTTTGATAAACACAGCAGTACATAGTTGGCCAACAAGCGAATAATTTTATATTTATTTATTCCACCTACTTTGGAATCGAAATATAAATTTTGTGCCTCAAATATCATTCTACGTACATGTGTTTGGCACTACATGTGTTTGGCACTAGGCCTATATACTTTTTAGAAGGAAAATTAAAGATTAAATTATCTACTTGGACCACTTCAAGTTCATATGTAAATAATACACGATATCGTTCATTATCTCGACGGTCAAATACATTTATTAAGTTTACAAATATGAAACTATTCAATATTCTTCTCAAAACTTTCAAAATAACTGTATTAAATGTGCTTGGCACAGATCTCAAAGTTAAACGTCTATGAAAAGTTAACAAAAACAACAAATTAGCGACTCTTTTTCTGGGACCCTTAATATTTCGAAGGTCACATAAGATATATGGAGACATTATTCAACCTGATAACGCTACCGAATGGATATGTGATATACCACTCCACCTCGCAAAATGATTAGTATAACCGGAAAAGGACAATTAAATGGATATTGGTTACATGCTTTGACCTTAACCTTTGGTATGTAATGAATAACTGCCATGCCATGGTCAGTGAGGCACTCGGTGCAGTAGCAAATGCTTGAGGATTAACCTTAAATAGTCCAACATTCAAATCTAGGGCACCACATTAGTGCTCCAGATTATAAAAACGGGGCTGGGATAATTCACGCGGCTCAAGTATTATCTATAAATATGGGCAGGAAGATTATAACCCAAATAAAACGTCCCTGTTGAATAATGGTCAAGTATTAAAACAAATTGATGATTTATGAATTGGGTTTATCAGGAATTCATTTTTATTTGATATATGAATATAAAAACATGTTGTCAACTCAGGTATAGTGAACAAAGACAAAATTTTATTGTTTAGCTTCTTTCATAAACTTTGACTTTGTTAAACGTATCCAGAGAAATTGTAGTTGGAAGCGGTGTTGTGGAAGAAAGACGGAATAACAAATAAACTTTTCAAAGAACAGACCTGTTTTCTTTTTATAGACAGAACCTTGTATATCTCATTCAGAAACACCTTTCGATACAAATTTTCTTTTAATGACATCAATATTGGTATCAAGGATTATGAGGTTATTTTTAGAACTTTGGACTTTTTGCCAAGAAGGAAATTATACTTTACTCAAATAAATTGCTATATAAAACACGGCAATGCCCTAGCCAGGATTTATATGGCAAAGTCTCAAAGAAATTTGTGTTTGTTTTGGCAAAACCTGGCACCCGTGCGGACTATTTCTTAGCAATTGGTTCACTGTCCTTTTAATGCTTTTTTAATCTTTTAAAATATATATGCTTACTTTTTAACCAGATCTCATCTTTTAGCATCTTATGGAAATATCTCGAAAAATTAGAAGCAAAAATTGCTTCCGAAATAGTTTGTACCTAATTAGGCTCCTTTATAGAGAGAGGAAGGTGGCGACAGACTGAAGAATAAACGACGACGACTAATAGTCCCTCGCATTCTTTCCTCTGATAATAAGACAAACATCCTATGATTTAGTTAACCCTTAGCGATATGCAGGGATTAATTATGAATAGTACCTTGTTTACGTTTTCTTGACAGGTGTTAACTTTTTGGTCTTCACTTCATTTATTTTCTTTTTCTTTCAGGTAAACAATGGATCCACGTTGTCGACTTTGCGGATATGTTCTTTCCCAAGATCCTGGACAAGTTCGATTCACCACGCCCTGTCACGGATATCGCCGAGTGCGGGCGCTATGTAGCATGGGCTGTGGAAGGTCAGGAGATTACAGACAGTGGATCGGTAGTTCTCTATGATAAGTTCTCACGGGTCGATCGGAAGTGGAACAGAAATTGTGAATTTATAGGTAAGGGATGATTTCATCACTTTTCTTCCTTTCTTCCTTTCTCCTCTTTTCTCATTTCTCAGTTGTCTTTTCCTGACCCTTTTCTTCTTTTTTCTTTGTCACAGTATTATTTTTGTTCTTTTCTCCTCTTCTTCTTCTTCTTCTCCTTCTTCTTCTTCTTCTTCTTCTTCTTCTTCGTCTTCTTCTTCTCCTTCTTCTTCCTGTTTCGTCTTCGTCTTCATCTTCTTCATCTTCTTTCCCTTCTTTGAGGATCCCCCACTGGCATGCATACTTTAATGTGCTTTTGTACTGTATCATAGGTTTTCATTCGATATCCATCAAGGCCTCAATGAATACTTCGACTCTGTATATAAAACATCGTGTTTTTCTATTTAAGTAAATCATTTGGAAATCACGTAACTCTTATGAATTTTTTTATTATTAATTTTTTTTTTTACAAAAAGAGACCTTAAAATAAAAGAATAAAGATATCAAAAACACCCCCAGGTTGAAACCAAGAATTTCCCATCTCTCAAACTGTTATGAAATAGCGAAACAGGTGGTTTGTATTGGATAGATTTAAACGAAAGCTGTCTAAAATAATTGTTTGTTTTATATAACTTTCAGTCCTCTTGACATCTTGACATATAGTCAATTAGATGCTTTTATAAGACGATGAAGCAGATCCTAATCAAATGATTGGTTGAGAGCTTACACGTGACCAGGCATTTATTTTGCCTAACATGTAATTTTACCAATGACCGGTCATTAGTAAATGCTAATGACCAGTTATTAGTAAAATCATGTTATAAAACATCTCTTTATAAAACAAATATAACACAACATTTTGTTCGGGCGTTAGTAAAATTTCCCAAACTCGGTACCTTTGAAACAGTCCAATTACCCTCGGCTATCGCCTCAGGCGTGTTAGACTGATCAGAAGGTACCCTCTGTGGGTAATTCTTACTAATGCCCTCACTGCTGTGTATTCTTTTTATACTATTCATCCTTTGATCCTATTAGCAACAATTACCAAATAGTAATGCCCATATTAGAATACCATATGGCCTACCCTCCCGAAATGAAAACAGAGACCACTCTTGTTTTTACACAATAAGATTTAAAAATGCCTCAGATAGTATTTTAACCTTTATACCAGGAAATGGGGATGGTGTAGATTTTACTAACGTGATTTTTCTAACGTGATTTGTCATTTTCATAAATTTTACAGTTGGATCCAGGCCAAAGAGCATCAGATTCACGAAGGATTGTTCCACCATCGTTGTTGCTAACGAAGGAGTTGCTGATGTAGCCGGTACAGGAAGTGCTTCACAATGGGTTAATCCCGAAGGTACAGTCAGCATCATTAGGTTGTATGGCAGAATGCATCAAAGACAAGGCCAAGGACAAGGAGGAGGAGGAAATGGCGGAAACAACTGGGGGAACCAAGGAACAAACCAGAATAATTGGGGTAACGCAGGCGGGAGAGGACAATGGGGAAACAATGGTCAAGGTGGACCACCCAATGGAGGACCAAACAACGGTCAACCTGATTGGAATAACAGAGGAGGCAATGGATGGAATAATAATGGACAGAATCAGGGACCCAATCAGGGACCCAATGGGGGTGGCCCGAATGGGGGAGGAAGAGGCTGGAATAACCAGGGTCCAAACCAAGGGGGAAATGGTCCCAATCAAGGACCAAACACAGGTGGACAGGGATGGAACAACCAAGGCCCAAACCAAGGCCCAAACCAGGGCCCAAACCAGGGCCCAAACCAAGGACCAAACCAAGGACCGAATAGAGGAGGAACTGGATGGAACAACCAAGGCCCAAACCAAGGAGGTAGGGTACCAAACCAAGGGCCAAACGGAGGTGGAGGTAATGGCTGGAACAACCAGGGACCAAATCAAGGAGGACGGGGTCCCAATCAAGGACCAAACACAGGAGGACAGGGATGGAACAATCAAGGCCCAAACCAAGGCCCCAACCAAGGCCCTAACCAAGGACCAAATAGAGGAGGAACTGGATGGAACAACCAAGGCCCAAACCAAGGAGGTAGGGTACCAAACCAAGGGCCGAACGGAGGTGGAGGTAATGGCTGGAACAACCAAGGTCCAAATCAAGGAGGTAGAGTACCCAATCAGGGTCCAAATCAAGGAGGTAGAGTACCCACTCAAGGTCCAAATAGAGGAGGAACTGGGTGGAACAACCAAGGAAACAACCAGGGACCAAACCAAGGCCCAAACCAAGGCCCAAACCAAGGACCAAATAGAGGAGGAACTGGATGGAACAACCAAGGCCCAAACCAAGGAGGTAGAGTACCCAATCAGGGTCCTAATCAAGGCGGTAGAGTACCCAATCAGGGTCCAAATCAAGGCGGTAGGGTACCCACTCAAGGTCCAAATAGAGGAGGAACTGGGTGGAACAACCAAGGAAACAATCAGGGACCAAACCAAGGCCCAAACCAAGGGCCAAACCAAGGACCAAATAGAGGAGGAACTGGATGGAACAACCAAGGCCCAAACCAAGGAGGTAGAGTACCCACTCAAGGTCCAAATAGAGGAGGAACTGGGTGGAACAACCAAGGAAACAACCAGGGACCAAACCAAGGCCCAAACCAAGGCCCAAATAGAGGAGGAACTGGATGGAACAACCAGGGACCTCAAGGAGGAGGTGCCAGAGGAAATCCACAGATTCCTAATCATGGAGGGCCCAATCAAGGACCAAACGCAGGGGGAACCGGGTGGAACAGAGGGCAGACCAATACACCTAATGCTAGAGGAAGAGCTCCACCAAACAACCCCCCTAATAATCCTGGACAGGGCCCGTGGCAGATCCAACATGTGCTTGGCCACCTTATCCGACAGGTAAATGTTATATCCCTTTAAAAATGTCTTCGTGTTTTTATAAAGACTAAACATTATCCTCTTTTCCTTTTCAGAATCAGAGCTGTAAATATCTCCTTGATTCAATCACTCAATAATCATGATGAATCTAAAAACGGTTATCACATTTCGGATACTGCTTCCAAATTATTTATTGTGGCTTTTTAATTTCCTTTGATAAGTGGGTCAGACGGATTGTATTTGGTTCAAAAGAAAATTTGCAAGTTCGCAATCTGTTCTAAGTTTGTTTTAATTGTGGACAAGGGCGGAGACGTTCGCGTAAATTTGGAAGTTTCTTTTTTTAATCACCTTGCGATCTAAGGCAAATCCTCTCGAAAAGAATTTTACTCTCCATGTGTACATAATAGACCCCATTATTGCAAATATAGTCTAAATCATGGAATATGTCAATATAAGCATATAAATGAATAAGCAGATTATTTTTGCCTCACATAGAAACGACAATATCCTCCACCACCACAAACACCAAACTGGCAGCCACAAACACCGCAGTGGCAACCACAGACACCGCAGTGGCAACCACAGACACCAAGATGGCAACCACCTCAAAGACCAACCTTTCCCCAGACCCCAGCCAGAGGTCCAGGCGGCGGAGGTCGCGGTATGAACCCTCCCAACAGTGGACCAGGATTCAATCCAGGACAAGGTCAGGGACAGACACAATGGCAAAGACCAGGACAAAGACCTGGACAGAGACCTGGACAGAGGCCAGGCCAGTTTCCCCAGGTCCCTGGGCGAGGGAATACACGAGATCAGAATCCGCAAGGGCAGAACCCAAATGGACAGAGCCCTCAAGGAGGAGTGACAACAAGCAGAGGTACCTGTTCTGGTGGTGGAAACTTTAACCCAACCGTTACAACATTGGATTTCACCAAATTTAACGCAAGGTGGGTACATCAATTATTCTAGGAGGCTTCAATAAAAACAACTCTTTTAGACACTTACTCAGTTATTTCATTATCCATGCGGTTATCAAGAACCTTTTTTAAATTATGAAAAATACATTTTTAAATTGAGATTTTCCCCAGATGCAAATCTGGTGCAAAAGATGTTTGTGAATAAGAGTTTTACATAATTGAATTTTACAAACATTTCGATCTTCGGAATATTGTTCTGTTATATTTGTTAGCATAAGATTTATAACTCTTTATCTTTTATTTCGAGTTTTGTGTCAGTTAAAGTTAGTGTATCCCTTTTGCAACCAACATCCAATTCTGTAGAACTTTGCAGGAATTATGAATATGTCACGTATTTCTTATCGGTGAAATTTAAACGTTAGTAGCTAGGGTCCTGGTATTCAAATTATGCAGGTAAACCCGATTACTGTTTAGACTTCACTGTCAGACACTATTGAGTGAATGACTGACTTATTTTTTTCTTTAGTAATAACATACATAAAATGAGCTGTAATGGGTATGTGAGCATTTGTCTACATCAATAACCCCTTCGTGTTGAAAGCCAAATTAAACTGATTTTATCTTTGCGTAGCATAAAACAAACGACCACTTGGTACAAGGGTTTGAAAATCAGACTAATAAATTAAACGATCGCGATCGCTAAATTCGATTCGACAAGTAACGGTTGGTATTTTCCCACAAACAGACATTGTTTTGGCATGAAGATGGTACATTGTACCTTTAACACTGCCCCAGGTATAGAGTCATTCAGATCATTTGCATTAACACGATTCAAATTTAGCAAGAAAAAGAGCATTCATTTCAGGCAACGTAAACATATTATGCAGGGTTTGTGAGGATTTTTCAGAATATTGTCGTAGGGTTTGCATCCCAACACATTGAAAGAGCTAAAAACTTGCCTCAGCATAAAGGTGAGCATGGTACGTGACGTTTCTTATATGTTATTTTCAATGTAAGTCAATTGATGTTTTTACCTGTTAGAGAATAACCTTTGAAGAAAAAACTAGGATCTATCCGTCTTGGATCATTACCATGAAAATCGTCACAATCTTGGGGGGAGGGGGAGGGGGGGGGGGGTCATCATAACTTTTCCCAATTCCCTACACAGTAATTTGTACATTTATGTTTTTCTCATTCGTTAGGTACATGTTAGTCTGAGAAGTAGTCGTCCTATGACCAATATTAACATTAGGTTCATGCATTAGATGTCGGACGTATTACTGCATAAAGTGAATTATAGATGGTTGGTAGTATTAATTACTAGTTCTTACTCGTATATTTATATATATATTTGAAATTTTTTGTCGTTTCAGGGCTGATTGGTTCAAGTCTCAGCTAGTTCGACAGCCATACACTGGTCAGATGGGTGACAAGCAACTGAATACATTCTCACAAGGTCTTGAACCTGAGTACGTGACATTTGACTCCATGGAAACCACTGCATATGTTAGTCTTCAGGTAAGTCATTAAATACATTTTTTTTTAAAAACCTTTGGCCATAGGCTTATGATGTTAGGGTGAAGCACCCCCCTTCCCGGCAATGGGTATCTTAAGTTTTTTTTAAATGTATTTGTGTGTTTATTCAATTTTCAATCATATAAAAATTACATATTTACAAGTCATTGGTAATAATTAGACAAACAAACAAACACAAAACCAATATGTATAAGAACAAATAACAATAATGAAAGGACAAGAAATTTATACAAACCATTACAGTAAAGAAAGACCTTGAATTTACCCAAAACATCCATCACTGGCGCACACGAACATGGTCTTAAGTAGTTTTAATTTTTTAAGATTCTCTACAAACAAAAAAAAAAAAAAAAAAAAAAAAATTCTAAACTGCATAGTTGGTATTAGTAATGTCACCACACCGTCAGTTTCTGTGGAATCAAGGTGAAAAAAACATCCTGCATTGTATATGCGCCCCTGAGGGATACTTTGTATACACTGTACACATAGAAATCATAATTTGAACTACAGTGCATAAAGCGAAGTGGGTATTTTAAATTGTTCATAACATGTAGAATATATTTTAAAACTATCGTTACACAGCAGCGGATAAACAAGGAAAGCCCGTTACAAAAGTTTGTAGGACAATATTCTGGGACAACTACTGTGTGAGCTCTCAACCGGTGGACAATATATAGACCCCTATCCTAATTTCTTCCTAGTGAAACCTTTATAGGACAACTACCATCAGGACAACTACTCCCAAATTTAAATATCCTGGGGTTAACGAAAATAGGAGCATGTTGTATAGGGGTTCTCTAATGTTCATTAAAATAATGTTTATGTGAGCAGTTGGGCGGGTAATCGACTCAGAGATAGTTTGAAAAGAGAATTTGAAAAATAGAGTAGAACGGAACGCAGTTTGAAAAGAGAATTTGAAAAATAGAGTAGAACGGAACTTAATGAATAATTTCTTTTGAAAGTATGGCATCTGTGAATATAAATTGATTCTTTTTTTGTTCTTACAGGAAAATAACGCCATTGCGAGTGTTGATCTGTTTGCCAATGAAATCACAGGCATCCATCCTCTTGGCGCCAAGCAATGGAAAAGATATGATCTGGATCCTAGTCCTGGCAATGGTGAGAACCAAAGACAAGGCATTAGATGCATCCCCCTCAAACAAAGTCCGTCGGCATAGATGTCATTATGAGGAATTACCTTAACCCTGGCCCCGTCTTATAAAGACTTTATATTAAGCACAACTTATTTACGATTGATATCAATCGCATGAAAGTACATACGAGATAGGCGACTACAATGGTGCGATTGATTGGAGGACTTGCGATAGATTTGGATATCTCAATACCTTTATAAGAGGGGGCCCCGGTCTGCAGTTTCCAAAGTTTGAGGATTTATTTATTCACTTCTTCTTTGGGAAATCATACGACTCTTTTTAATGTTACTTGGCAAGTGCCGTTTTCCCGCATTAGAACCGCTTGTCAATTTTGTCCGTCACCCCTGCCCTTTGCTTACGAGTTTGTTATAGCAATTCCCTTTTTATAGTGCCAGTCATGTAGCCTGAACATGTTAGTGTGGCAGGTTTCGGTTTTTAACAAATTCTTCAAAATTTAAGATTTTCAATAGTTCATATAATTATATAACCCGAAAATTAATAATCTGCATAATGTGAGGATGATGATGGTGACGATGATGGTGATAAAGCTTTTATAACAATTAATCAGAGCCAAAATAACATTAAAACCTTTTCATCCTGGCTTGTTAGACATATTTTGATTGAAAAAACAATATGGATTCGTTCTTCTGTTCTTTGCCTCCAGCTCGAGGTTTCCAGAAGTATGACATCGAAAGCTTCCGTCAGCCCGATGCGATTGAGTCGTACACGGCATCCAATGGAGAGACTTATATCGTGACAGCAAACGAGGGCAAGCAGCTTGAATACACATGTAATCTCAACGCCTGTCCACCGGGTGGTGGAGAGTTCGTCGAGTTCGAAAAGGGAGACGAGTTCCCAGAAGGTATCTATAGTTGATAGTTAAATAGTTTGGAAGAACATCATTAAAGAAATGAACCCCGGCTTTTATAAATTACGTTCAATTTTCTTTACAAATCAAGAGCAGGAAAAACTAGGTTCATATTCATGTGTCTCCTAATAGGTGGATACTAACAGAGAAATGTCAATACTGTTATATCGTCTGAGAATTTAAAATAGCCTTCAACATACAAACCATTAGATATGATTAAATGCATAATCCACCGGTCTTAGTTAAAAAGATTAGTGTGGCCCAACCTTACTGCTCGCCTTAATAGCTTATTAGCAATTATGTATGAATTATTGAGTACCGCTGTTCAGTACTTAATGTAACAAAATAATATCGTATCAAAAGTCAGAATGATCGGTTAAATTCGAAGGTAAAAAAGTAAAATTTATATTTTGCACTATTTTTATATCATGAAGGTGGAACACGTCTGTTGATAAATGTCGGACCTATTAGGACTACTTTGTAAAGCGCATAAGGTTGTCCGGCTGGAGGTTTAATCATGATATGTGTTGTGTAAGGACGATAGTCGTCAAACTAACGGTCTATTTTTCTATATTCCTAGATTACTGGTTAACTGCAAAGCTACTTGAAAGGGTTAGCAATGCTGAAATGTTAGACGCGTTCAGGTTAGGTAAGTCTTCTCATTTTTCACATCATTTCTCCTTGCCTTTTACTTTATCATGTTGATAAAGATTATGGGCCAAATGATTGTGAACTATGTGATTTGGTGGTTAGAAATCTGGTTCTAGGACACCTACACCCTGGACATCCACCCCCGGATAACCACCCCCAGTCATCTACCCCCTAGAGCAACCACTTATAGACGACTACCCATCGGGGCAACTACCCCCGGACAACTACCCCAGACACTTACCCCCTAGAACAACTACCCCGCACAACTATCCTAGGGGGTAGTTGTCTGTGGGTAGTTGTCCGGGGTAGTTGTCCGGAGGTTAGTTGTCCTAGGGGGTAGTTGACTGGGGTAGTTATCCGGGGGGGGGGTGGATGTCCAGGAGGTAGGTGTCCGGATACGTAAAAAACTGTGTACTCATCTGTTGCCTCAAACAAAAAAACAGGCTTACTTCGTTTACAGGGTCATTGCGTCAGGTTTTTTGGTTTCGGGTTACATGAACTTTTGTGAAAACATAGCACCATAATCACGAAAGGTCGGGTACTTCACGTTGTCGGGTTACAGGATATTTTATGACATCATGCCCCCATATTAACGGAAGGTATGGGTAAACTGAAAGCAGATAATCACAATTCTTTCCAAATATGGTCCTTGAGATAGGGCTAACCTTTTTACTTCTACATTTGTGAAAACATATCCATACAATCAAACAATAACTAATTGTCAATCAGTGGCATTTTGTCAAGCTCTTGGGATTATTTATCTCGGATAAAGACGCGAGTTTTCGTAGATTTGCTGCAGATTTACAAGAACGTATTCGGTAAACTGACAAGAGGGGTATAAACGTTTCACCCCGTATCAAGACGATTACCCTCTTGTCCGTGGGCGGTACTTTTGTCGTAGAACCCTTTTAATCTACGATTCGGGATATAGGACATGATTATTCACGATTGTTCGTTGAACCCCACACGACGCGGAGATCCGATGGAACGAAGTAAGCCAACAAGACATGTACAGCGGTGTTTGTCTTTCCCAGATTGGATTAATTTCTATCAGGAAGGGAGAAATTCCTGTTCGCCTAGGCCAAGGCCATTGTACTATTTTAGTCCCATTGTATAAATGTTAAATTGCCGACAATTTCAGTTTCAAAGCACTGTCCTTGCCAAGTTGTCAAAGCAAATGAAGAGATATAAGGTGATGGTGATTTTAATATCAACGATAGTGGAGTCTGCTCTTGTCTGTCGCATTGTCACTCATGACGCTGCTTTATTTGAATGTTTGATTATTTGAATATTTTGATAGTGTACAGAATAAATTGACTAATTCTAATCGACGGTTCAAATACGTAAGTCATCAATACTTAACAAATGTTATTGATATTTACTTTGATCTACTCCTTTTTCCCGATTTAACCCAGGCAATCTTGAGTTCAGTCGTATTGATGGACGCAGTACTGAACAACCCCTGAAGCACGATGACGTGTATTTCTACGGAGGACGTGGTATCTCGGCCTACCGCGTAGACAGACAGACCGGCAACCTGACCCTGGCTTGGGACAGTGGTGACATTATCGAGAAGGCTACAGCTAAGTACCTTCCTAAAATGCACAATGGTAACAACAGGGTAGGAGATCCTAGTCTTACCATGGCTAGCACATTCGACTCACAGTCAGACAAAATGGTGCGTATTTCCCGATTCTCGGACAACCCCCTGTACTACCACACCTGGGAGGTGTTTCACAAAGACTAAGATTGACTTTACACTGGATCTAACGTTGGCATGCCGATCATGTCACTGTTGCTCTCCCCATTTACTGGCATTGGTCCCTCAAGGGACGTACAAATCGAAGTCACAAATCCACAGAGTTTACATTTTCTGGTTGTTCATTATTGAAGGAAAAATATTATCTAAAGATCATAATTGAGAGACCAATGACAGCAACCAGTGGCATGAATGGCCTGTCGTAGTTAAGTCCAACTTAAAGTCGATCTTAGTCTTTGTGAAACGGGTCCCTGGACAATTTTTCCTGGACATAATATGACTAGAACGGAAATGACAACAATGATAAAAATAATATTAATCATACAAATAAAAGTAGATGATAATAATAATAATAATAATTGTAATACTACTACTACTACTAATAATAATCATCATTATACTCATAACAGTAATGGTAGTAATATTGATAATAACTAATAATGATGTTAATAATGATATGAATAATGAAAGTGATAATGATAATAATCGTACTGCTAATAATAGTGATATAAAAGTAATAATGATGATGATAATGATAGCTATTTCTTATAGATTGAAGCACTTTACAGTGTATCGACCATAGCGCCTATAGAAATATTATTGTGATGATTATTATCTGATCACTGGACTTAATTACAATTTTGAATCTAGGGTAGTACGAGCAAGCCCGATAACTAACCCAGGGAGTAGATGTCTCAGTGGTGGCAGGTTTCTGGGGATTGTAGTTCGGGGATAATTAACTGATATAATATTATCAAATTTTCATACAAGTGAAAACGAGGAGGGGACCGAAACCGTAAAAAAAGCATTTTAAGGTCTTATATTTGAGACCTATATTCTGTTTTCACTGATGTGTGGTTACATTTCGATGTCTTATTTCTATAACTCTAAAGATTTGGGGGAAATTCCGTTATAAAAAGAAATCGTCACCCCGGTCACTTTATTACTTGACTTCACTTGAAAACAAAACCTTTGTTCCCCTTTTTCCTCATTCACCGCCGATTTTTACTTCTTTATATTTTCATCATTGTCTTCTTTTTCTCTTTCCATCATAATCTCCAGGGTCCTGAATGTGAATCCATTGAAATTGGCGACGTCCAGGGCACAAAACTCATCTTCGTTGGTATTGACAGGATCAGTGCTATCGCCCTCTTCAGCGTCCCACCAGATGGAAATCTACCGATATTCGAGTCAATTCACAGAGATGGCCATATTGATAAATCTTTCTCGGAGCTTTACAGGACAAAGGAATTCGGAGATTCTGATCCAGAGTCTATAACGTAAGTAGGAATTATTCGATAATTTTTAATAAACACTTAAACTACTTCCTATGGCAGGAAAATGAATTTTCAAAACGGTTCCTCAGTGTAAGTCTTTAAACATATTGATAGTAAAAATTAATTGTAGAATATGCAATTCTAAATTAATGCTTTCTTCCTAACAGAATGATACGCCAACAGGATTGTAAGAACAAACAAACGGTTAAATCTTTACTAAAGGCTCCATTTTATTTCATTCAATGTTACCTGTAGCTTAGTGTTTTATATCAAAAGTAACATAGTATGATTTGATTTATCCATATAGAATTCACGCAAACAGCCTTTGCATCCATATTTTCGTTTGGTAAATAATACTGAAAAGCCTGAAAACTGAAATGATGTTAAAATCATGACAATCAGGATGTGCGTAAATTAACAATAATAATAAAAAATAAATAAAGTAATTGAAGTATTTACAAGCGGTATTAAATGGGTTATTGGGTCAACTGGTCTCTTAAAAGCAGATTAACAAATTTTATATTTGTTTAAATTATTGTATAACTACAAGGAAAAGCTCTTTTACAAATATTTTGCTTTGTGTTTGCTCTTTATGACTGCTGATGTGTCCCGGCTGCGTTATTGGTCGTATGGCACTTCCTCTTACGGCAATTGCTCTGCAGTAATTTCCTACGATAAACAAATTCCTAATTTCAACCCTGGACCCAACCCTTTACCAATCCCTAACACTAACCCAACACTTAACAAAAAAACGAATTTGAACCCTAGCCCAGTCACTACCCTTTAAACCATAATTCTACCTCTCTGTCCATGTTTTGATAAAATAATAGCCCGGAGCGATTGTCGCCACAGCAAATGTGGGGAGCATCGCGTAATCAGCTGACCAAAAAGCGAATACCTTAAAGCCCTACTGCACTACTTATAGCTCAGTGGCGGATCCAGGGGGTGGCCTGGGGGCCCAGACCCTCCTGGCAAATGAAAAGAAGGAAAAAAGGGGAAAGATTTTTTTTGTGCTAAAGAAAGCAACAACAAAAAGAGTGTTCCTCCCCCCCCCCCTTTCACTGAACGAAATATCTGACGACGTAGTTTTCCAATTTCCGCCCCCCCCCTCCACGAAAAAAATTGCTCATCTGACCTTGATTAAATGCCTTAGAATCCCTGAGCTTCCAGGGGATCTGCTCCCTGGATTTCACTTAGGGCCCAAAGTCAGGCACCTGGATGCTCATCTGACGTTAATTTAATGCCTAAAACCCCTGAGCTCCTGGGGGCTCAACCCCATACACCAATTAGTGATCTACCAGTGCCACAAATAAGGTATCAAAATATGTTCATCTGACCCTAATTAAATGCCTAAAACCCCTGAGTTTTCGGGGCTCCGCCCCCTCGACCACACCCTGGGCCCTAAGGCGGGCCCCTAGATGCTCATCTGACCGTAATATATTGCCTGACACCCCTGAGCCTCCGGGGACTCCGCCTCCTTGACCCCACGCCAATTCGTGACCTGCCAGTGTCACAAATAAGGTATAAAAATATGCTCATCTGACGATAATTTAATGTATAAAACCCCTGAGCATCTGGGGGATTCGCCCCCATGACCCAACACCAATTCGTGTCTTGCCAGTGGCACAAAATAATAAGGTATCGAAATATGCTCATCTGACCGTAATTTTTCGCCCATGACCCCTGAGCCTCCGGGGACTCCGCCTCCTTGACCCCACGCCAATTCGTGACTTGCCAGTGTCACAAAATAAGGTATCAAAATGTGCTCATCTGACCGTAATGTTTTACCCAAAACCCCTGAGCTTCCCGGGGCTCATCTGACAGTAATTAAAGGCCTATAACCCCTGAGCTTCTGGGGGCTCCACTCCTTGACCCCCGCCGAGAAGTGTTCAGCGGGGCCTGCATGTAAGAGTGGGATGATGGGGATTTCTTTTTTGTGTACCCCCCCCCCCCGAAAAGTTTTTGCCACTGCCGGTGTCACCATTATGTACCAATATTTGGCTCGCATAATATTAAATTTGGGCCCCCCCTAAGAAATCCTGGATCCGCGCCTGTTATAGCTACTTGTTCTCCCATGGTCCCCTGACCTGATTTGACGATATAAAAACCTGTCAGTGACCATGCAGGGAGGTCTAATCCCTCCTGGCCAAACTAGTGCAGATAGGCTTTAAACTTTTCAAGCGTTACATATCTTACTTCTGAGCGCCTGTGATGTGTTGAATATTTTAAACTCCTATATCTTTGCTTATCACATACACAGATTTATTCCTCCCGAAAAATCGGCTGACAAGAGGCCCAAACTGATGGTAACAGGACGGGTCAGCGGAACTATCACCATCTATCAAATCAGGGATGAACCTATCTGGATGTTACTCAAGGATGGCCGCAGTAGAGGTGAGTTAAGGGGAAAGGTGTCATGGAGGTGCAGTGGTATATTGGTTCATTTACCTGACTCGCAATCCAGGGGGTTGAGGGTTCGAATCCCAGCTCGACACTAAAATGCCATATACCTACTAGTATTATGGGTACCCGATATAGGGCAGGGCCCTTCATATTTAGCCGTTGGCCATGATCGGGATAATATTTCGTTCCCTTTGAATTGTAGCTCATGTTGAGGCATTTGCCTGAGGTATGTCCTGGATGGGCAGAAAGCACCCTTTTTCAATTCTCAATAAACATATGCACTAATTCCTGTGAACTTTGATTATCTAACCATATTCGTCTTATTCCCTGTTATCATTGTATCCATCTTTCTCATTTCAGATGTTCGTCTGTTGGGCTCCTTGCACGTTGTTCTTCTATCTACCTTCCTAGCGATTGTAGCTGGTTATAGAAGACTAAATTGAGACTAGGTGTGGAAGAGACCATGTCTCAAAACGATCAACCTACTATATGATTACTGTAAGGAAAAAATATCTATCGGTTTGGTGCAGAGCATTCAAGAAGGACTGAGCCATCAATGTTCAGAAGATGTTTCTCTTCGTATCATCAGACACAAAACAGCGATGTCATGGATATGGACAAGGGAGTCTACAAGGCGTTATACTCGCCAATGATCGGCCCGCTTGTGTTGTTAGGATGTCATAATGATATGAAGAGAAAACATTTTAAAATGGCGCCATCACCGCTGCATCATGGATTAAACTTTACACCATCAGACAGTGGACAGTAGACAGTAGTGTGCAGGCACAGACCCATGCCAGTCGCCATGCAAAACAGGGGCTCCAAACCAAGAGACTATGCAAAGACCGCAGTCGATAGGCCCTGTACTGTAACTGCTCATGACTTGTTTCAGTGACAGGACCAGAGACTTATTTCAACTCTGTTTGAATGTCGAATGAGAGCCTGTGCCTGCACACTAAGTAAATAGAGGCCTGGGTAGCGTTTCACAAGACCAAGTTCAACTTCACCGTCATCCCATTGAAGCGCGTGTTAAATTAAATACACGCGTTCCAATGGGCTGTCGGTGAGCTTGTACTTACAATGTATTACAGTTTTGTGAAACGCTGGTCAAACAATGTAAATCATGCTAAAAATTGGAGACGTCTCACGATTGGAAAAAAGAAAGATAAAAGTTCTTCTTGATAAAATAACTACTAGCAGACAACTGTACATTGCTTGATATCACAACTATTTTTGAAAATTATTCTAAACTATTCTAGACAAGGACCGACGCCAGATACTGTACATATTTTCTGTAATATATATATTAGCCCATTAAGCTTTCAAACTTTTACAGCAATAGACTCTGAGAATTATAAGTCTCCGAGAAATAGAGCAATATATGGCTATTTGTATATTAGCTTTGAATGTATGAAATCAATTAGATCATCTCGGAGAATTTCATCTATATCATTCATATTTCTAGTTTTGAGTATAATGCCGATAATATTTTGTCCATGCATGAATACATTTTCATGAATTGTGCAATATTATTTATACATTTTAGAGCAGAATTGTATTACATGAGAATATTTTATGAACCTAGATATTTTCACTGCAGAGACTTTGCTAAAAAATACTGAGAAATTATATGCCGATATATTCGGTTAAAATGCATTGATAAGAAGGAAATATGTCTACACAAGTATGTATGCGTACATTTTTCTCTTCACCTCTGTCTATGTGCCTCTGTCTCTCTGTCTCTCTCTCTGTCTCTCTCTCTCTCTCTCTTTCTTTCTTTCTTCTCTCTCTCTCTCTCTCTCTCTCTCTCTCCCTATGTCTCTTCCTCTGTCTCTCTGTTTATTTCTTAGATATTACCAATCGATATTGTTAACACGGTCATCCTTTTCAATGCAAAGTATTTATATTTTTGTCATCAGCACAATACACAATTGATGTTGCCATAAACTTCATAATAAAGATAATTATGAAAACACGTATACAACTAGCATATTCTTATCTGTACATTTCGCTCCTATATGTGTTATTCTTTTCAATCGATTTTTTTAAACACAGTATTCAATCATTATTTTTTCCTTATCTTTTAATTTTGTGACAACACATTCCCTTGCAAAAAAGGTTATATATTAATCACCGCTACAATTTGCCTAAAGTTTTCGAACTCTGAAGCTTTCCTTTCACCATCTCTATAATTAAATTTCCTTTACTCTTCAGTTCAGCAGGGACTGGTTTGTTTAGGAGGAGAAGACATTGGATCTGTAATGTGAGCAATGTTTGATGATGTAAGACCCAAATGACTTCCTGTCACTTCCGCTACAAGTGGTTTCTATAGTTACGTACGACTTGAGTTATCCAGGGCACCATTAGAACGTGTTCATAACTCGGGGTCACTTGCTTACCTGGAGGTTTTTTTAAATTGGTCTTTTATGTCCCATAGGGTTCATAATTCCGAAAAATGTTATGCATTACTCCGAAGCTAGCCCTCATACACCAGAGTACAACAACAATTGAATGTTTATACAGTACATATTTTATAGGGTTCATAATTCCGAAAAAATTTGTTGAATTACTCCGGAGCTAGCCCTCGTACACCAAAGTATAACAACAATTGAATGTTGGAAGCCCTGGATCTTAAATAGCGTCAAAATAACAACAAAAGTAATTCACGGTATGGGTGCTTGCCGTATTAAATAGATTACAGAGTAAAGTTTCTATTGTTAATGGCATTTATAATTATGCAAAATGGGGTAGGCACTGCATGATTAAGAAATGTGTGATACTTATACACTTTTATGTAAAAGGCACAGCCATTTGACAACAGGAGAGACTAAGAAAGAGTGAGAAAGAAAGAGCGATACAGACCCAGTGTATGAAATAAATGAAACGACACCGCTTTATCGTATTTCGTTCATTTTGCTTCCATTCCCCCGCCGCCCCCCAAAAAATAAGAATAAAAAGAAGAAGAACAACAATAACTGGACGAGCTATCCGTCATTGTTTACGTCGCTAGAGATTATTATGCCTTACAATTGTATTCATTGACAGGTTTAGTGCACATATCGGAACATGTAAAATTAAATTAATTTTTTTGTTGGGGGGTGGGGTGCCCTGTCCGGAAAATACAGAAGCATTTGATTATTGCCTTGATGGGAAGCTTAAGTGGAATGAGATCCTCTGTCTACCGTGGATCTGTGACAGGTGTATTACTCATGGGAGGTAGATATGGCGCAGAGAGATAATGAAGTTATTTTCATAGAGTATTGTTGTACAGGGTGGACTTTAATAATAACAACAACATTTGGGATTTGTAAGGCACCGAATCAAATTGGAAGCAAATGCTCAAGAAGCACTTGTGAAACATAAACAAAAAAGTGATCACATAAAAGCATCCGCAACTGATATGCTATTATGAATCTCTCGGAGGAGAGCATTCCACAGCTTAGACCCTGCATGAGCATGAAATGCAATAGCATAGACACGGGTTGGGAAATATATAATACCTGCCCATTTTCTTCCAATTGAAAGGCGAAAACATTTGAAAATAGAAGTGAGAAAACTGTTTAGGAAGTTAGAGAGAGAGAGAGAGAGAGAGAGAGGGGGAGGGGGTGGTGGGGGGTTGGATAACGCATGAAATAAAAACACGACCCGCCTTATCGTATTTTGTTCATCTCGGAGCCCCCCACCCCGAAAAAAAAAAGTATAATAAGCCTTCTTTCCACTACAGATGCCCTAACAAATTGACGAATCTGTATTTATCGACGGATGTAGTCCAGATATCGGAACCAGTAAAATTGAACATTATTGAACAACACAAAAACAACAACAAACAAGCAAAATAACATTTTCCTATCCAGGCAATATGGAAGTACTTCATTATATAATTCGATGGAGAGCTCAAAGGGGATATACGGTCTTCTGTCTGCCGGGATTGTGTGACAGGTATATTACTCATCGGGAGGTAGATCTGCCGTCAATAGATAATGAAATAATAAGTGTAATATTATTATACAGGATGGACTTAACAATCCAACGGATTTTCATTATATTACTCTGGCTTTATACGTGGTAATGGTATTAGCTGTCTCTTATATAATTATAGTGCTCATGTCCGTTACATTTAGGCATTCCTGGCGCTCCATAATTATAGTAGCATGTGTAGTATGTCTGCTTTTGTGGCGGTCTAGCATTTTAAGGAATAATTCCTGCCAGGGACCCATTTAACTCAACTGGGTCAAGTGTGGTAAATGTAGATTAATGTCTTGTGAATGGAATCTAGGGCTGTAGCAGGGATTCGAAACACGTTCCTTCTAATTAACAGTCCCTTGACTTATTCACTAGACCACAACACCCTAACGAAGATATGGCATTTTATTCAGCTCCCCTATTCCAAAAATTGACCCCTTTTCCCTTTAAAACAATTTAATCAGTTAATTTTGTGATGTCATTGCGCCATGATTATAACTCATTTATTTTGTTAAAATATCTGTGTATTTACGTTGCTTCTTTTGGACCCCTGACGCCGACAAGCTAAAAGAGGTGTTTCTTTTTTCTTTAATTTAAAAAAAAAAATTATTATCATGGTTTAGCTTTATATCTCACCTGATGCCCATGTTTTTTAATGCATATATTGAATATTTACGGAATATGGTATATTGTTATTCTATATACATCAACATAACATAACTTTACAATCTTATAACTTTTGATGTACGCTAATGACATGGAATATAAAGAAAATGGGTCGTCTTGAAGTGACGTCCTCTAGAAAAAGTAGACAAAAAAATTCATACAATATGAACCGATGCATATATTGTTGTGTTCTTTTTATTGGAAATAAATAAAGGACTTGAATAGTTAAGCGAATCACTAAAACACCCCAAATCCATTGACGATAACTCAATTAACACAAATATTCTACTCGAGCATAATGTTATGATATGTAAAAACTAAAATCTTTAAAAAAAATAATAGTGATCGCGTGATTCATTAATTCCGAAAACACACCCCCTTCCACCACCAAACGCCTCTATGTATCATCAAGATTACTCAAAATGTGCTTGTAATTAAAATTACTTGGAAATTTGAAAAATCTGTGAAAGTTTTCTATTTTTGTTAATTGCTAAGTGATAACTGAGGTACCGAGTCAATTGCCGATGAAGTCATAATTACGGCATAGTTGAAACAGCCGTACTAATCCACGCCGCTAATACGGTCTTTGTAATTTGACAATTGATAGCTTCCTGAATCAGAGGCAATTATTTTGCTGAGCATTTTGTCATTATCAGAAAACAATAAGTTACTTTTGTTTAGATATCACTCATTTGTATGAAATACATATTATTAATTAACCTAATTATTCGAAATAAATTTAGATAGAAAACGACAAATATGTAGAGAATATTCACATTTAAGAAAAAGTTATTTCCACCTACCCCAAATCCCATATCCAAAATAAGACGGACGCACGCTACCCCCTTTGAAGGCTGGAACAAAATGTCAATTACCATTGATGTTGATACAACGGGGATGGAATGTACCCCTTTTAACGTTTGCCCCTATGTTTGCTACTTTTCGAGTAAACTTTTGTTTTTTTACATAGGCCTATAAGGTTATAAACATGTATTGCAATTTGACCCTAGGTTACTGTACAGTGCCATCTTTCTACACAACATGATTAATACAATAAATGCTCTTTATTTACTAGTCGAATTTGTCTTTACCGCCCGCTCCCTGTTGAGAGATCGTTAAGGTAACAGTTGCATGTTTACCACATATTACAGGAATGATTTTTTTTTTAATCAACAATTTCTTGGGGAACACTCTTTCCCTCCTTAGCGCAGTGGTTTCCCTTATGGTAGCCCCCTATTCTCACTTTCTCTCTCATCTACTATATTTTCTATTAATGTCGGACTGTAGACTCATCTCTTTATAATATAGAGCATTAACATTTTCCTTCCATCTGGGATATAACACAGTCCGACTAATGCAATCATGTGTGTTTTCGTCATGTTGTGTAAAATTTCAGACATCCATCTAAAGAAACTCTGTTGTGTCAGTTTTGAAATGCCTCATATGACCTTAGGATACGTCCAATAGATTAATTAAAAACAAATAAATTAAATTTCTGTTTTAGGCTTTAATTATTATGTACTGTAAGATGGGATGTAAATGTGGGAATGAGTAAGGGATAGAGAGAGAGAGAGAGAGAGAGAGAGAGAGAGAGAGAGAGAAAGAGGGGGGGGGGGCAAGATGAGGCGAAACAGGAGATAAATAGAACGGGTGCTGAGAGAAGGGGGAAAGAGGGAGTAAATATGAGGGGTTTACCAAATTACACTATCGCCAATTATAGTACTCTTGCCTATGTTTTCGTCTTTAGGAACGCATCATATTGGAATAGGCTTATTTCAAAATGTATTAATCCATTGAAGGTATTATGTTCGATTTACAGGCCAAAAAATTAAAAGGTTAAATTCCAACGGCATTTTAAAGATAATACTAATTTAGAACTTCCCTAAAAAAAGGGGGGGGTGGGGGGGGGGGGGGGGGGGGCTTGAAAGTGTCTTAAAGATAAAGACCAGCTATGGTCATGCGATTGCATTGTGAAAGAAACTTTGTAGAATCGATCAGAAAAGGTTGATCATCTAGCATATATTAGTGTGTACTGCAAGGTTCTAGAATCATCAAAATAATAAGAAATTCGACCCAGTCTTGATAAAGTTACAAGCACTGTAGGCCTACACACAGAAAGATGTATATAAGACTACCCCCACACGTGCGCGACACGTTCGTTATATCTATCAGGTTTCTCGGCAAAACATATTCTTTCATTTTTTGAGAGGGGGGCGTTTCCAAAACTGGCCTTTCAAGTGGGAAAATAACGACTATCAGTTGTCGAATCGACTTAAGAGCTATAGAGCCGGTAAGTAATAGTCTGATTTTCAGACCATTGTTCCGAATGGTCGTACGTGTTATGCTGCGCAAAGAATCAATCATTTTAATTTTGGCCATTATAAGAAGTGGGTTATTGATGTAGACAAATGCTCAAATGCTAGGTGTAGGGAATTGGAGGCCACCAAGCTTGAACACATTACTGTCTGTCCGTGTTGGCTCCAATATTGCTATAGCGCCATATGTGGTCTTTAACAACAATACTGCATATATCCAATTAATTTCGAAGACTAAAATGCGTTCTTTCTCCAAGAAAATTGTCAAAATTGACCAAGATAAGCAATTTTGATCGTAAAATTTTGCTCTGATATAAAAACACAATTTTCACTGAATGTTGTGGTGAATGCAGATATTTAGAGGTGGCTCTTAACAAGTAGTTTTAAAAGGAAGTTTATGAAGTGTGCCAACCATCACAGAAAACTTATGGCCATTGTGTGTTGCGAATGTGTGTTGCAATGCACATTACGAATGGTGTCTGATCAGAAATGTGTGCAGGCAATGGCGGACACCAGGTCCAATATGGGGGTTATTTGTTGTGAATGTCGAGTATGCCAGTCAATGACCCGATGCTGGTTGGTTAATTGTCCATGTACAGAAATATTTTGGGCCACATTTGATTTATTTATTTCTGTCTGATTTTCTTTTTCTTTTGCCCTATTACAAATATATAACAAACAAACGATTTCAAAAGAGTATAATGTCGAATAAAGTAACTAATCTAAAACATCAAACAGGAGGGTTGTCAAAGTAAGCAAAGCTTGATAGCATGACTACCCTCAATGGATACATAATAATACGAATATGGTGGAACAAATATTGGTAAAAGGGGAAAGAGAGAGAGAGAGAGAGAGAGAGGGAAAAGAAAAAAGAAAGAGGGTGTGTACATCAAGATTCACAGATGTATGTGATACACTGTAGTTGGATTTCAATTTGATATATGAAGATAAAAAAGATGCACATTTGAATATTGGGTAGCCAACTTGGGATGTATTATAGAATGAGAAGACACTCGAGGTTTCTGGAAAATATGATTAAAAGTGTGAGATCAGCGAGCTGGTTTATATAGACTGTAAACCTTTGTTTGTATACAAAACAGGTTTTGGGAGTATCCCAAGTAGGCCACATTGTTTTAAAATCGTTTCAAAATTACAGTAAGTTTATTGGCTGCATGTATCTCTCTCAAAAAGTGTTTGAACTAACTATAACAATCCCTTTTTCATTCAAACTGTACTTAAAATGTTTTGATTTGTAACTGTCCATTATTACCTGCACATGTAGGTAATGAGAAACCTTTGGTGATGACGTCATTAATCATTGTTAACTTATTAATCAGTTACATCATGACCACAATTTTGTCACCAAATAAAGAGAAGAAGTTACTGAAGAGAATACAAAACTTTCTGTATGTGTAACATTGTTCATGTTTATGTAAATTATGCAAATGTGCTTAAGGGTCTCCAATTCCCTACACCTACCCTATGTTATTAACAAAGAAGAAAAGAAGCCAGTCAGTCACTCAATGGTGTCTGACAGTGAAGTCTACAAGTAAACGGGTTTCCTTGAATACTTTGAATATTAGGACACTGCTAACGTTTAAATTTCACAGATAGGACATACATGACATATTCATAATTCCTGCAAAGTTCTACAGCATTTGGTGTAGGCTGCAAAAGGGACAAAGTGTCTTTAAAACTTTTATAACACAGATAGATATATGGATATTCGTTAGATGTGAAAATATTGAGTAATGTCAATATGTTATCACAATCAGGATACAATCAGCTCTTTGGTCGTTTATGTTAAGGCGGTATATAAGAAACTAGTATTATTATAGTTATTTTCATCATTATTATTATTATTATTACCATTACTGTTATTATTAACATTATTGTTATTATTATCATTATTATTATTATTACTATTATTATTATTATTATTATTATTATTATTATTATTATTATTATTATTATTATTATTATTATTATTATTATTATTATTATGATAATCAAACCGTAACATTTAATTTGTATACGTATAATTGACGTCATTTCGGTGCAAAATACATTTAGAATAATGTTATCCACGGTATATAATATAATCAATCTTTCAACAATGGAACTTTTCTATGTCAAACCAGGGACTGTGAATAGCGAACTTGATTTAATTTACCTTGTCCTGAAGTGAGTAATAATTATGGTGTCAATTAGCTTAATCCGTGCGAATCAAATTAATTAATTGCTCCTGTCATAGGCCAATACATTATCGGCCGATTTTAGAAGCACAGGTGCGACAAACATACAGTGTCAATTTCACGGGTTTCAATTAATGAGGATTCCTGCACAGGTTTCTGACTGAAAGACAAAATTGGTTTCAGGTTTCAACCATTTTACATGTGGATAGGTCTATTGTCATAATTCAGTTTCAGTTTCAATTTTCATTTCCAACAGAACAGTAATTTTGACAAGAAATCAGATAAACAATTCAACATTCAATAATATAATACATTTAACATGGTTTAAAGTTATGAAATAGAAAGTATACATGACTATTCAGTATAATGTTTTTTTAAAGTTTTTTTTAATGATAAACCTGTGGAAATGGAGGGATCCACTGAAAAGCAGAGCTTGTAGAATATGGATCCCTCAAAATAATGACAAAAATAATTTTTGTAACATGTAAATATATTGACTTGACAAAAATATATAAACATGAGGTCCCATTATATCACTTAACAACTTTAGCCCACAATGTAATCCATTGAAAATTTAGTTTCATTAATATATGACTACTCAAATCATCGAACTTATACACAATTTGAAGTTGAATGTTCACATCAAATGCTATTGCAAATTCTTCCAAAGTCAGTTGTTAATCATTCATTAAAACAATAAATTAGGCACTAAGATCTTCTTTTATTTAAACATATTTGAAATTTCTCCCAGGAAGCATTACATTTATAAAAGTTTATTGTCCTATGGCGGACTAATGAATATTAATAAGTCAGAATGAATCAGGGGAGCTTGGGTATTTGTTTCTAGTTCATCGTGACTGCGCCATGGACCAGTGATGGCCTGGTGGTAGAGCCGCTGCCCGGCAAGCAGTAGATGCAGGTTCAAATCCCGCTGGTTCCAAGATTTTTTCTGGCTTGTTTTTTTTCTTCAATACAGATCGATCAATCGATCTTATTTACTTGGTAACACATATGTTTAAATAATAGAAATTTCTCCCAGGAAGCATTACATTTATAAAATATCTTCTTTCTCTTCATTTCAGAGGCAAGGATAGGAGAAAAAATATCAAACAACTTCCATCGGCCTCCATATTATGTGGGGTCAAAGATCAGATATGTACTTGTTAAGATCAAAATCAATACATTTTTGATGATTAGTGTCCTGCATTTATGGTTTTGTTTTTAGATGCTTTCCTTGGGTGGCATTGTACAAAAGTGTAGAATGTGATGCTGAAAAAAGTAATCAGAAAATTTCAAGCGCATCTCACATCATTGATCATAATTATGTTGAGATCGGACGATGATGAATCTGTGACAAGAGCGTGGGATCTGGAACTGGATGGCATAAGAGAAAAAGATGAAAAAAAGGCCTAAGCTTTCATGGAAAGATATGATAAATAAAGAAGGTAGTAAGGTTGGTCTTAATGACGCAGATGCTTGAGACAAGAAGAATCGGAGGGAGGAAGTGTCACCAGAGCGCAAAAGTCAGTAAACCCTCGTAAGAGGGAAAATATTGACTTTAATGATGATGATAATGATGAAAGAGGTATTGACTGACATTACCGTGAATTGTGTCCATATCATATCATCTACAAATGAAGAAAAAAAACTTTTGATACGGTCATTGACCAGTGGTTTTGTCTGATATCACTTTTTCTGGTAAAAGGTCTTATCAAGAGATTTGACATTTAACTGACTCTGCTCTTATTTACGGCATTACTAAGACAACTTTTATAATTATATATCTAGATTTGGATTAACAATCTTCCTGTGCATGCTAAACTCTTCACAATTATGTTTGAAGCTTCAAACATTTTGATGAATGACTGACCTATGGATGACCATGTTAGAGCCTGCCAGATGTCATTGAACTGCCAGTAGAACGCCCCCATGCAGTGACCCTGGCCATCAACTAAGTAAGATGCTCTGAAGACATCTGTAGTGCTCTGTCTCAAACTTGATGCATAATGCTTGGGAGATCTGCACAGAACATGGTGCTGTATATATGATCACTAAATGCGCTGGTGTAGGACCAGTCTGTTTTTGTGGAAACATGGCAAAGTGTTAGGAACGAGGGCCAGCACTGGACTCCGTACTCTCCGTACGATTATGATAGCTAGATACATTCCAACGATCGGCATTATAGTTGTAATGGTGGACTATGGGGGGGGGGGGAATAAACAATAACATTTTAGATGTTAAATACTAATATTGTATATTTTTATGGCATACATATCCTTTAAGGTCGTAAGTTCTTGGATTTTTAAAATACTTGTAACTTATTTATTACTCTTTCTTGTGGTTCAATAACAACAAATATGTACCTCATATCTTTACAACCTCTTGTTTCCTGGTTTCGAAAGCATGGGGAAGTTCATGATCCACAAGGGTTAACTGATGATGATTAATGATGCTTTTGATGCTATTTATGATGCCTAATAGTGGTTCCATCTACTGATTTACATAAGTACCATTGAATGTTGTCGGTGTATTTACCATCAGTGCATTTATCGTCATCATTGTCAATGGTTGTAAACTCCGCTGTCATGTATTTTGCCTAGTGACTGTCATCTATTCTGGCTTTAAGGTCGAAGTTCTTGAATTTTTTTAAATACATGTACCTGATTTACTATTCTTTCTTGTTGTTCGTTAACAACAAATATGTACAAGCTCTTGTTTCCTGGTTTCGAAAGCATGGTGAAGTTCAGTAATGGATCTACAAGGGTTTACTGATGATGATTAATGATGCTTTTGATGCTGTTTCAGATGCCTAATAGTGGTTTCATCTACTGATTTACATAAGTACCATTGAATGTTATCGGTGTATGCATCATCAGTGCATGTATTGTCATTATTTTCGGTGGTTGTGAACTCCACTGCCATTATTTTGCCCAGTGAATGTCATCATTTGCAATATATAAAAAAAAAAATCGAAGATGATTGTCATTAAGTCGTCACATGACACATGCTGATGGTATCTTAACATGATTTTCCAAGATTCATTTTGGTCGGTGGTGGATGACGGTTTACAGTGTAGTGAATAGCGTTAACAAAATACTGACATACAGTATAAAGCATGTCAGGGGCTCACTTTGAAGGTTTACGTTTAAACTGTTACTTTATACGCTGTTGAGTATCGATGACATTGTGGTGAGAACATCTTTTTTTCTTGAGAGTAGTGATTGCATCGTATTGATTAATCAAGCTTTGTGAATGAAAGATCATGGCTGCGAACATGGCAATTCATACTCCTCGCTTAATTTCAGTGCTGGTTGCATTGGGATTAGTTCTCCTTGGCTTGCTTCCCTCGATGAAAACTGTGCCACTCGCAGAATCTCAATGGAATCATGCAATATGCCGCTTCATCAATTCAAGTCATGGACTTACTGTCAACTGTAAAAACAGTGGGCTTCAGAATGTTCCTGAAGGCTTACCCACGGAAGCAACAGTCCTTAATCTGTATGGAAACAACATTACGACCCTCCACAATACGTCTTTCAAAGATGTACCAAATCTTGTTCTTCTAATTGCGTCTCATAACTCACTTTCGTTTATTGAAACCGAAACTATGTGGTCTTTGCCGAAACTGGAAACTCTCGTATTGGATAACTGCAATCTACAGACTGTGTCACCACTTCTTTTTGTCAAAAACATTCTCCTTACACAGTTGTTTTTGACTGGAAATAAACTGAATGATATTCCCTGTGAAACACTCGCAGTCTTACCAAGACTACACACAATGGATCTAAAGCGAAACAAAATACGAAGTCTTAACTTTGACGGGTGTTCAAGATGGCATAATTTAACAAGAATCGACCTTCTTCTAAATCAGGTGGAAAAAATTCACAAGAGAGATTTTCTTGCTTTGCAAAATACTACCATCACATATTTCTCCCTGATTTCAAATAAGATCAAGAATTTACCCAATCGTGTATTTTATCATCTGAACTCAGTACAGAGTCTACGACTAGACTATAATCTTTTGACTTCATTTGATATTCAACCTTTTCTAGGTATGGCTTCCATCAAAGAACTGTCAGTCTTCGGCTGTAGAATCCATCGTCTTATTCCGCTTGGCAATGCATCGTATGACTTTGACAACTATCCATTCATATCTATTCTTGACATGAGATGTAATTCGATAGAAAATGTACCTGCTGATTCATATTGGGGCTTCACAAAACTTCAAGCCCTCTTTTTGACTCACAACAAAATTAAAACTTTTGGTAATCAGTCCTTCTGCAAGCTCCAATCACTTACAGAACTGGACATTTCATACAATAAAATAGCATTCTTAACGCCTCATACATTTGCCTGCTTATCAAGTTTGACCAAATTGAATGTATCAGGAAATTCGATACAAACTATTTCGCCTCAATCCTTTAATGGAATGCCATCGATAACATCAATTTTCCTGTCCCGTAATAAGATAACAAATTTGAACAATAATAAACGACTTTGGACACTAACGACTCTCCGTATGCTTGATTTATCATTTAATGATATAAAGTCTATTTTTCCACGCAGAATGAATGGCCTCTCAAATCTAACGGAATTACGTTTATCATTCAATCCAGTCTCCTATTACGATCCCATCGCATTTAAGGATCTTCGGAGTTTGCAAAGGCTATACCTTTCCAATCAGAAGATTTTAGTCCTACAAAATACCTTTCAGCAGCTTCATACAGTACTCTTTTTGTGTATTTCAAATACCCGTATCAAGATTTCCGGATATTCAATTGATCAATTTGTTAACATGACACATCTTTATGAACTACGCATGGAGAAAGCACAGCTGACAGGCAGTCACTTATATGATGTGGTCAACAATCAGTCACTCTTTACCGGTCTTCATGCGTTGAAGAGACTTCGTCTCAAAGACAACTATTTACACAGCCTGGATAGCAGAGTGTTCTACAACCTTTCGAAACTGTACTATCTTGATATGACCAACTCAAACATCCATGTGCTGAGGTCTGGTGTGTTCTATCCTCTGTCCTCCCTTGCCGTATTGCGTCTCAGTGGTAATAAACTGGCGGAGATTGCAGGAGACACATTCCACGGTCTCTCTCACTTGAGTTTCCTTAACCTCCAAAACAACGGCCTTCGTGGTCTGGAGGTAACAACTTTTGCCCAGAATCCTAAACTAAAAACCCTCCTTCTTCCTGGAAATCAAATCAGCATCATTAAACCAGAAACGGTGTTCCCATCCAATATATCTCTTCACTTGGATGTGTCCAGAAACCCCTTCGCATGTACATGCTCTTTAATATGGTTCAGGCAGTGGCTTCACTCAGCCAACATCGACTTGAAACATGCAGACCAGACGTTGTGCTCTGGTACTTCATTGAAGGAATTCGTAAATAAACCGATTTTATCGTTCCATCCTGAGGATCATTGCGGTGTGAACGTCGTTCTCATTGTGGTTCTCTCTTTCTTAGGTGTACTCGTCGGTGTAATGGCCATGCTAGTGTACAACAAACGATGGTGGCTGAATCATAAAATCTTCCTGCTCAAACTTGCTATCGTTGGTTACATAGAAATGGAAGAGGACTTCAACGCTGGCAACTATCGTCATCATCTCAACCTCATGTTCCATGAAACAGAAGAGGAGTGGGTCAACCAGGTCATGAAACCTGCACTGGAGGAGAGGTTGCCACATCTGCAGAACATCATCTACGGAGACGAGGACCTTCACCTAGGCATGTACTACATCAACGCACTCTACGATGCCATCGACAACAGCTTCAAGACAGTCTTGCTGCTAAGCAACCAGTCTGTCAATAATGCCTGGACAATGACCAAGCTCCGTATGGCTCTGGAGCACATTAATGACACAGGATTAGACAAAGTCATCTTGATCTTCGTGGAGGACATCGAGGATGATAACCTACCGTACCTTGTCAGGTTGTTCCTGAGTAGGAACAGACCTTACATGCTGTGGACAGAGGATGAAGATAGACAGGAACTATTTTGGGCTCAGTTTGAGAAGAGCACAAGAGCGAACAGGGCTATAAACAATGCCATTCCGCTGTAAATTATTAATGTAGACAAATTTGAATCTCACTGTGAATAATGCCACCAGCAGAATAGAACTCATGTCATAATACACATTCCAGTTGAAGTAATGTAAAAATGAGGCGAGTTATCATTTCACAATTTTCCACTTACACTTGGCTAAGTAATTTACTTATTATATTTCAAGACAAAACATTAGAAAGAAGTACATCCTCAGAATATACATGCACTAGATTCCAGTTTAAATGTATATAGCTGCTAAATGAGCGTACAAAAATAAAACATCAACGATGTCTTTAATCCCTTTAATGATATGGTAATACACTGGTCATTTGATTCAAGCTTGTCCGCACACAATGTACTAGTATGCACATTCTCCACTCCCTGTGGAGCATTCCAGCCAGGCACAATTTCAAAGACAGTCATACAATGCTGAACAATCTGCAATGATTATCGCATCCTGCCGGGTATCCATTTAACACCTGGGTGGAGAGTGCCAAAAGTGAATGAATGTCTTGTCGAAGGATGTTAGTCCCAGGCTGGGATTCGAACCTTCAACTTTCGGATTGAGAGGTTTTGAACGACCTAAAGCTACTGTGTACCAATCACCTGAAACTATTTTTTGCACAGCTACAATGTATTAAAAAAACCTCTAAAATAACTTTCCATGCAATTGTATGAATAAACAGTAATTTAGTATGAAGAAAATAAAGGATAACATACAAACCTGCGTAAAAAGCTCGCACGCCTATTCTATTTGATTGCATACGAGTACGTTAAACAGTCTCCTCAGCAAGGCGTTTTAATATTAACTGGGAGTTTATTTAAACCGCAATATCTCTCTGTAGAAGTAATAATTAAAGCTCATGATTTGAATAAAGTATAGCCACATGGAACCCCTACATCAAAGGAAAAACGTGAATTGGTGATTGTTATTCTTTAAAAATTCAGCATCAACTGAAAATGTTATGCCATCATGTCATTGATCAAGATCTTGGGTATTTTTAATGGGAGTTAGAGAACAAAAAAAATCATTGTGAATTAATGTAAGATTCTAGGCCTCTAACTGGTCAAAACTTCATGCATAAAATTCTTTTCTGACTACAAGGATTCTAGGAAGTATAATAATAACAAAAACATTGACTGGGCATAGTTCTATATTTTAGTACGCTCCAATGACAATTGCCATTGCGTACAGGTAGTGACAATGTAACACAAGTATTTTAAGGAATGGGTTAACATCGGTCACATATTTATATGACCGATGTTTACCTATTCCTTAGAATAAGTTCAAATTAAACCCTATTACGATCTATTTTACACAAGACTATATCAATGTTATAACTTCCGGAGCTTATGACCTACAAGAATTGCTTTCTCTTTAGACTCCATCATATTTATCCCTTTATTTAACTTAATCTTATGTATTATTCTCTTCGTTTGTATTAAATAAAAATGTTACATGCCAAATGTGACGATGTATTATACAACATGTGAAGTATGAAAATAAACTGAAACTGACACTCAACTGAATTATGTCGTACGATTAAAATGCTGTAAACTGCTTATGTCTAACAATTTGTTTAAAACGTTGTTATGAATGTTGATTACAAACACCACATTTAAAGAAAATATAAATATATTGCAAAAGTTCCAAATGTCATCAGCCTATTTTCGAAGGCAATCTGTACAGTATTTTAATTTGAGGTCTAGATTGATGATGATGATATCTTCTCGTTGGTTGTAAGCTTTGATTCAATTATAGATGGGTAAATTTATATCTCATACCACCTTTGACCTTACATGTACCATCGTTAGAAAAAATGTAAAAGATTAAGAGTAAAAAGTATCAATAATCTAAAATCTGGGCCCCGTTTCATAAAATTTACAATTGATATCAACTGTCACGTTTCCTTTATAACAACATTTGCCAACAACCAATCAAATGCAACTATATCAGTAGTTTATAACAGGTATCAGAATGTATTGATGATAAGTGTCATGAACCCACTATTATTATTATTATTATTATTATTATGAAACAGGGTCTAGAATATCTGCAATGCATCTGCTATACAAATGTATTCCTTGTCTATTTGTTTATTTCGATTTATTACATATTTTTTTCGACACGTTGTTCATAAAAATTATATGTCAGATTTCACAATTATATTTTGCATCAACTGAGTGATTATATTGTGTACAAGCAATCCATTTCTAATGACTCATGAAAGCTGCATTCCATTTTACAAAATCTGTGGTTATCATGGCAACGTCAGAGGATGTCTGGCCTTTTTCAGGGTTGAGTCAAGAACCTTTCGAAGCCTACCTTGACTTTGAGCAGGGAGGTGGGAGCAAGGGAACTCCATGCTTTGAGCTTATCTCACAATCAACCGCACGAAACTGTAGTGCAAGTAGTCAAATGGAACGTGCTCGTAGCAGGGACGTATCCAGAAATTGATGAGTGAAAGGGGGGAGGGGGGCGGGTCTGTATCTGGGCAGCCCTGCATGCCGTAGATCCATTTCACTGTTTCACTGTTTCTGTATTGCTGTCCTTCAAATGGATGGGGGCGTTATACCCTATGATAGATACGCCATTGTATAAGCATGTCGCATTTTAAACACCTGCTCTTTATGAGCGTGGTGATGATAACTTGGCAAGGCACACAATCATTGTGTCTTCTTCTCTAGTTATGAAAGGCATACCCAGAGGAAGAAAGGGAAGTGCATCATCTTCCTCTAAAGTTTCTAAGAGGGAGAATGAGCATCTCTGATTAACAATTGGCTTTCCTTCCCTCTCAAATACCCATACTCCTTTTTCTATGTAACCGTTTCTTGTGTTTTCTTCCTTCAGTATTTGACTGTGTATAGTCTGCTTCTCTCCCCCCCTCTCTCTCTCTCTCTCTCTCTCTCTCTCTCTCCCTCGCCTTCTCTTTCTCTTTCTTTCCCTCTCATTTATCTCCTGACTTCTATCGGAAACAATAATTGCACGGCCAAGGAAGATTCAAGCTGAAATAAGAACAATGCATTTGATCTTTAAATTTCACAATAGGACTAATATTAAACAAAGATTCTTCCTTCTTTTTTCAAGATTTCTTGAGCTCAAACTACATTCCTCGAATTTGGGGCCAAGGCGCATACCTAGATTTAATATACAAACTTGAATAAAGCCATTCATTCTATGAGGTATAATCCATAATAATCTGGCGATGCAACATGAATGTGTATGCAGGTCGAGAGGTATTTACTAAGATCAAAACCGCTCGGAATGAATCATAGAAAATCATCGTCGTAATTATTTAGCTCAATGTCTGAGGTAGTATAAACTATGTGACCTTGAAGACTCCCTTCTAATCTCATAATTATCTACCGACTGCTTTCTCTAGACCTCATCAGTTGAATGACAAGCTACGCAAGTCACTAAATATGAAAAAATTGGTAAACTCTTAAGATTTAAAGGCAGCATTTAGTGTATTCGAAATCTTCTGCTTTTATTGAAGCGTGTCTGAATGTAATCTAAATGTTCAATAACGTAAGAGTATGATTTTTTGTATCAAATCAATAGACGGGTAGGAAAAAGGGAAGGGGAAAGAGAGAGAGAGAGTGGGGGAGAGGGAGAAAGAGAGAGGGGGGGAGAGGGGGAGAGGGAGAAAGAGATAGAAAGAGAGAGAGAAAAGAAAAGAGCTAGAAAGAGAGGGGGAACTTGGATTAAAGGGCGGAGGAAGTATGCTACATCAATTAGGTAAATTTAGCGAAAGTTAATCACTAATTTAATGGAAAACAATGTATCAGTTGTAAATGAGATACTACAATTGGACTAGTTTTATTCCATTGAGTACCTTGGCCAAATGCCCGGTATTATATTCTAAACAATATATGATTATGGTCAACCCTATTGTATTACTCATAGACGGTTAGCAGTCACTGTATGTTCTGCAAGTCCAATTGCACGTGAATCTATACTACTGACACGACTGATTATGTTCATCCAACTGAAAAGTGAACTACGCAATGGCAATGGGAATACGGTATTCTAATGCAGCATATTGGAGGGGAAAAAAAAGGGAAAATGAAAAAAAAATGATACTACTACTACTTCTACTACTACTTCTACGACTACTATTACTATTACTACCACTACTACTACTACTACTACTACTACTACTACTACTACTAATAATAATAATAAAATTACCACTATTACTACTTCTACTACCTACAGACTGTAGCTACTATTAATGATAACAATAATCATACATAGTTTATAGAATGTGACTTATGATCATCGCTTTTCCCTTTAACACATTTCCCCTCTTCTGTATAAGTCTTTCAGGCCTAATTAGATAACGACATTGAATCTAGTCTAGCCTCTACGCTTGACACACGCACTCTGGAAATGAAATAATGATCGAATATGAAATTACCATAATTTCAACTCTAGAAGTGAATGGGGTCACTCCTGAAGAAAGTTATCGAAGACATCACTCAGCGACGATGACGCTTTGAAGCACATCCGGTCCTTTTTTTCAGGTGTCCGAAGCTCTGTCACCATATTAACCATTGTCTGACTATATGACCTGGATGATATTATAGAAGCTACAAACTATTGTCATCAAATATGAACATGTTCCAGATGGATTGATACAAAATGAAGAAAATTGAATAGGATAAACGAAAGATGTGAGAAGTGCATTATTTAATTCTACATCATGAATATACTTCCATTTTGTCCATGTATATTCATCGTGTCTTTTATTTTGTTATAAACAAATAATTTTGTAAAATGTATTGATGATTATTTGCTTACGGTCAAGATGACCAAGGTGACCATGTGAGGATCATGTTGAACCACCTGATGAGTTTAGTGGGAGAGCTATTTCGACTTTCTTAGGTTTACAAGAGAATTCCATGTCGATATAGGTATCCCATATTCTTTGTTTTTCGATCGTCTAATCATTTGGATTTACTAGATAATACGTGGATGTTTTTAAGGGTGCGGTACAGTCAAAGTATTAAGACTAACCCTTCCTCCTCAAAGACCTTCATACCCCACAATCCCTGGGATTAACCCGTGGATTAATGGATTCCTTCATTTTATTTGAAGTTAAATGTTTTTGCCTTGGGAACAGGTCCCCTGTATATTCACCTGTTTAAAGTTTTGTCTATAGGATTCAACCTTCAGACTTTTCCCTTCCTGGGCGCGGAATGGACTCATCGCCCACAAACACACACATAGTGCAAGGTCGATGAGGAGCATATGAGTAGTCTCTCTGTTAGAGCTTACCTGGAAGTCACATTTTACAGTTAAAGTTCGTAATATAGAGCCTGATATAACGAGATACCTGTCCAGTCTAGTATTAAGTTTAAAGTACTTTTATCAATGTTTCCATCAGTATGCTCCATCATATCGCATTACGTTCTTAAAAGAGTATAAACCAGAAAAAAATGATGCGTTCCAGTAAAAAGTCTTTAATTTGATGTCCCACCAATTGTAAGAAAAATCTTATGGGAAAAGGTAATTTTCATATGCAGCCACTGTATTGTGTAATAACTTGCCGCAATACCTTAAATAGTGATGGTTATTTTACCTGACTGCTAAAAAAGCATAAATGCTTGTAAATAAGCAACCAGACGGCCGACGACTTTAGGTCCTCTCCGAAGGACCTGGTAATAATGATTAAAGACTTACCAAAGGGCACTAGCGCATCGCCTTGGTTTCGAACCCGGGTCACCGGATTACAAGACCTCTTCCGACTGAGCTATCGCGCCTCCTCCTAGCTATCGCGCCTCCTACTCAGAAGTATAGAAACATATGACAAGTGCTGAAGTAATTTAAGAACGTGTCTATTTGGCACTTTGTGAGATCCAATAATTATGAACCCAGTATACCATTTCAACTCCTTCTGTATTCTGTTCGGTAAAGCGCATTATAGGGACATGCAATTATGCCTATGGGTTATGCGCAATACCCAAACCTTTAATTATTATTATTTTCATAACTTGGAAGGGCAGTTTCATGGTCCCGATGTCCTCGTTACACCGAGTTTCCATCTGATTCTTGCCCCTGTTTCATTGTACAAATTAAAGCTAAGTCTGACTCTAAAGACGTAAACTTTTCAGAGTGTAATACTTTTCGGGGAACGGTGTTTGAGTTTGAAAACAACTATATTGGCTGAAACGGCAAAGCCTTTCTTGAATTGAATTGAATTGAATCTCTTTATTGTCATGCACAAATAAAAGGAAGGCATACAAATCGTCGTACGACTCACATTTGTATAAAATATAACTATACATAAACATATCATATCATAAATAATAAATAACTGAAAATAACAAAAATAACACAACAATGTAATATAATTTAATCTCTCTGTTTTTAATCATCATGAATTATATTGTTGGCCGATAGCTCTTTTTTTAACTGCTAAAGCCATGTGCAATTGTAACTTGATAACAAACAGAAAGTCTGCTGTAACAAGACTAGTATGTTCTAACTCTTAACCAATCACGATAGAGATGAATAGTTTCCCGCGCGCTTCTCGTAGATTAATCTCAACAAATTGTGCTCGTCTGATCAATTAGTGTTCGTGGACCGAGTTACAGATTCGCGTGTGCCGCCACTTTCTATCGACTAAATCTATCGTCCGATGCTCTCGCAATCATTCGGTAAGCGGTAAAATTGATATCAGAAAACTTCTTGCTGCATTTTCATTTTAGATTTGGTCGGATACAGAAGGTGGAAGATGCAATTATCTGGATGTTTGTTTGCAGCGGGCGTCTGCTTGCTTGCCCTACCGGCAGCGCTCGCTATATGCCCACCAGCAGATAGGGTGATGATTTCCGGCTGGTTCCAATTCGGCAGAGCATGTATTGGGTAAGATTTTAAATGTTGATATTTCTCCCCTACCTATCTCTTGATAATTCTGATTTGCTTCTCATTGAATTTTAAGAATAGGTTTGCATGATCTACACTTGATCTACAGTGTATTTAGACATTGCAAATATACTAGATGTCAAAGCTATAGTTTTCATTACTAGTTATTCTATTTGTTCGGCATAAAAATATAGGCCTAAGTACAAAATCTGAAGACATGATTTTGAAAGATGGAAATAGATAATGATAATATATAAAAGTATATCAAAGTATTAAACATGCGAAATCATTGTCATTAATGAGTTACAGGTTTTCTTAAAAATGTGCAAAATCATGCGGGAATGAGGAGTATCAAAGCCTAGCTGTTAGCAGTAGGAGCTGTCGTTAGCAATTACAGGTTAGACGACTGATGCTCTATCTTGCATAAAGGACACCTGTAGGAAACTTGATATTAACCTGCACGGCAGGAGTGGAGTAGCGGATCAATTAAAGGAAATTTACACAACGGGGTGTCACTCATTCGCTGATGAGTCGCTAAAAATGAACACGTGCATCGTTTGTAACACACGATGAAAACAAGATTTCACCTCCGAAAATGTTCTATGTTTTGGTGTTAACTGAAAAGGATACAGATTCTTCACAAGTGTTGACAAATGCGACTGTTCAATTGGCTTTCTGGTTCATGTTAGCTCGGAATAGTGGCTTCATTTACAACGACATTTGAAATGAATCCTCTTGCACAAGACTCGTACATGAAATTATAAAAAAGTTCATAGACATCAGTAACTCATTGCTGTCTTTCTTTCAATCTTTTATTATCATGATATAATCGTGAAAGACAGAAACACAATCGCACAGATCTTAAGAAATCATCCTATAAGGCTATTTCACTTGCTTTTACCCTATCGAATTTGCGAACATGACATCGATGATTATATATTTACATATGTGATTTCTATCTAGGCAATACAAAGAGTATTGAAATCGCCCTTCAGATTGTTTTTCGAAAGTCTTTGTGATTGTGTTAGTAAACTTTAGTATACATGGATAGGTTTCATAGTCTTAATCTATCCTTTTAAAGCAAAATTATTACAAGACTGAACATGACAATCGCAGATTTGTTAATGTATTTTCTCACTAGTTTTATCGGCTTCAAGGTTGTCTGAGCTGAATATGAATGTGCTTGCTAAAAACAGACAGTGAAAAATGTCTCATAACTACGACCGTACTGCAAACCACAACAAAAAGAACAAACAAGCAAAACAAAGCATACAATCTTCTAGAACTTCGATACATAAGAATGCTTTAAAGATGCCAAAATTATAGTGATAAAAGATATCCTTCTGTATACATGTATATATTTATAAAATCTATGTAATAGAAGTGATTCTGTATGGGTGCTTTATATGCCTACCAGATCAAATCTTTCCTCATTCGACTTTAAGTTATCATTTTCCCGTTCTCCCCTTAACTACAATATGTAATTAAGACTTTCAAAATGGAAATAAGTAGGAAGAGGAAAAACGGAATGAGACGGGAAAAAAGGAAAAGAAAGAGAGGCATATAATAAACTAGTGTAGGCCTTAAGTACTCTTCATTTGTTATTGAATTCGATTCAGTCAAATTTCTTTCCACTCAAACGTTAAAGCAAAATATTAAACAAAAAGTAAGTATACAGTTAAAAAAAATTAAGGATAACAAAACTGATAAAAAGTGTTGATAAACCAGTTAAATGTCTTTAAAAAAGAAAAAGTTGACTACACACGATGTAAGCACATAAAATTCGTAGGGGTTGAATTAAAGATGGTTGGAATCGTAATACCTTCAACGCTTGTAAACAGGGGGGGGGGGGGGGGGGGGGTTGTTAAACAATATTTGTTTACTAATTCCAAGGTTTTTTTTTTATTAATCGACATTAAACAAATTATCTCTACAGTTTATTCACATCTATTTTAAAATAAATATTGCTGACCATGGTATATTTTATATCTATTTTTATCATGATATTATATGATGACAAGCCAACCATCAAAGATATCTGAAAGGAGGAAGGAAAGTGTCTGTCAGGACAGTGGCACGAGTGATTTTTAGAGATAATATATTATATTGCCGCCCAATCCGCCTGGTGATCCGGCGCTACGGTTTGAGTAGTAAAGAAATCAAGTTTATCTTTGCATGAAGATTGAAGGACTTTACCAGGAATCGGGAAGGGTACGAGACTACAAGGTACCCGCCTAGAAGAAGATCAACCCTTCCCTTTCATAAGAAGGTAACGATTAGCTTGAAGATGACTTCTTCTAAGATTGTTACCCGTCTCTCATCTCATAGACACTCCTCCCTGTCGGGGTTCGCAGCCTAAAACAGATCGCATTGACTGATGAGAAGTTGTGTTCGTGGAAACGGTTCTATAATTACTCGACTTGGTGGAGAATTAGTGGGATAAGCCGAGAAACGTGCAAATGCCAGACTGGAAAGCTGAAAGAGAAAGGGAAAAAATGAAAATTTAAAACAATCTAAAGAAAGACAAGTAATAATACTATACGGTAGAGCCATGAGCATGACGGATAATGTTCGTACCTTATCTTTATCCATAGAATTGGGGCAATTACTCTCCCTAACAATTGATATCCCTCTTACTTTTGTCGATGCTTTTACTGTTATGTCGGTGCATAGAACTCTGTGTCGATAAACTTTTTGTTAAAATTTGTTAAAATGTGCCGGATCTTTTACATTCGTCGCCCTCTTGTATAAGGACACTGTTTTTTCTCTCGGATGAGTTGAGCAATATTCCTGTGACATAAACGTACAAGAAACCTACTGATAAGCGCATTATTGGGTGTGTTTCATACTTAATGATATTACAATGCTATTTAAGGTACATTGAGCTAGAGCTTGTAACGATATAATATGACTAGTAAAATTGAAATTCCCTCGATATAGCATGCGGGTCTGCATTCCAAGGTAATTGATGACTCTTAACGCACCTTTTTGAAGCTGTACTTAACACATGCGCAAATTAAAGTCACTTAAATTTTAAGTGGCATGCAGAATGATCTTAAGTTGTCAGATTCTTCAAACGGATGCAGATAATTCGAACAATTCCGCTCCACATTTCCTGCCCTATATACCCAATATTCATGAAACATCTGATCAACACTCATCGTTGATATTAAGTTTATTATCTCATTGATTGACGCCATTTTGGTTTTGTTCTTCTTTTTTCTCTTCTTTTTTTATGACAGGACATGCATATGTATTCATAGCCCTCATGTTGTACTTACCTCGATATTCTGATAGAGAACTTGATACATTCATTTTTTCATAAAGAAAACATAAGCTTAATTTGTACGTGTCTTTCCTGCAATGATAACCAGGATTTCTAATTTCTTTCCTTTTCTATGACTTTGTAGAAAAGGTTATAAGAGCAACTGTTATGCACGTTGAACACAGTAATTTAACAATCAAAACAGTACTTTTGAATGCGTTATCACTAATGCACTAATCAATCTTATGAAGGAAATTCGTGCCTACGCCAGTAGTTCCAAGAATACTGTTCATTTCGCGTTTATATTTTCGCTCTCGAGACCGCGTTAATCGCTTGCGCAGTCTTGCGTCAACGAGCAGTGAACGGCCGATGGTCGGTAGAAAAGTAGAGAAATTCCTCACAATTTGGCATTCTCTCTCTCTCTCTCTCTCTCTCTCTGTCTCTCTCTCTCTTTAAAATAATAATTATGAAATGAAAATGACTTTAAATCCCCTTTGATCTGGAAAATATCATTAAAATGTCAAATATAGAAGAAATTAAACAAAATCAAGTAAAGTTTGCTGTATGTTCTTCACATTATGGCTTATTGAGGTGCCTCTTTGTCTCTCTCCATAGTTTTTTATCCGTGATCTCTGCAAGGTCGTAAAACTGACAAAATAATGACAGGACAAAGACAGGAAACAAAGGCAACACAATGCAAACAAAATGATGCGTCAAAAGAGAACTTGAATGTTAAGCTTTTCTTAAAGGCTTTACATAATAATATACAACGGCAAATGTTAGCAGCTGGTACGCATTTATAAAAGAGAGCAGGTTTTGTGTAAGACCTCTTCACTTTCTTGTTTCATATTATATCACATCAAGGGCACTAAAAGGTTAAGGACCTTGGAGTATGCGTAGTCTTGAGTCATACATGTTTATCTCGGTGTAACCTTAAACCTCAAGTTTTCAATGGCTCATGAAGTTTCGAGCGTCAACCAACGCATCCCTTCAATCCCCTGGACCATAACTAGTGCCTCTTTCCAAGGGTGTACATTAGAAAGCCTAAGCGAGATTAATCGGATCATATTGATCTGTTTAATGCCCCCAAAACCGTCTGGGAGGCTCGACCATGCATGCACAAGAGGCGTACCATACGCTTTGTGTCTGTTGACAGGGGGCGTTGATCGCTAGAACATTTTAGAATTGGGATGTCAGCGAAAATGTTTTAACATGTCAGAAAAACACAACTGTAATTTGCCATGAAGCAAAGACAAGTAGATTCTCGCAAGCGCGTAGCCAGGATTTTATTTTAAGGGGGGGGCGGTAATGAGCACGCAAAGCGTGCGAATCACTTAAAGACCGCGCGCAGCGCGCTCCCTAGGGGGTGGGTGCAGGGAGGGGGGGGGGGAATTCGTTGTACCTTTCTCGACTCTTGATCCTTGTCTGAATTCAGCCCCCCCTCCCTCCTCCTGCGCTTCACGCAGGAGGAGACAAAGAAGAAGATTCGTTGTACCTTTCCCGACTCCTAATCCTTAATTCGAACTCAGTTTCCCCCTTTCCGCGCGAAGCGCGGAAGCTTTCACGTTTCATTAAATTATTAGAGAAAGAAGACGATTCGTTGTACCGTTCTCGACTCCTTTTCCCTTTTTCTTCCTACGTCCTCTTACTTTTTTCTTCTCTTTCTCTCTCTTTTTTTGGGGGGCCGGCGTTTTTTTTTTTGGGGGGGAGGGGGCGACCGCCCCCACCGCCCCCT